GTAATTTTTTCTAAAATTCCCTCTGCTTGAGAAATGCTTAGCGTGTTCTTCCCTTTTGGTTTTCTGACTCCAGATATTTGCACAATTTGTTATAATATTTGACTTTGTCTAGTCGAGCTGATATTTAAAATTTTCTGTTCAGCTCTTGTACCTCCTCATTTCCTCCATTTTCTTTAGCATTTCTACATTGGAGAGCAAGTCTTTTCTGACATGCATTTTGAGCTTTTCTTTCTTCCTTGTCTTTTTAATGACTTTTTGCTTTTTTCCTGTATGATGTTCTTGATGTCATCACACAACTCTTCTTGTCTTTGGTGCCTACTATATCAAGAGAAATATGAGACAACAGACAAGGACCTCCCAGGTAAGGGACACTGACTCTGAGGCATCAGTTGGACTTACATTACAGGTTGTGTGAGAGAGTTCCTGATTTAAAGAGGCAGAGCATTTGGCTGTTATCCAAAGTGGCAGTCATCTTAGTGATGAAGGGAATGCGGGGAATGGGGCAAACTTAACTGAGAGTTCAGAAAGTGTGTAAATGTTTTCAGGATTTCTACACCAAAAACATTACATTGAAGATCAAGCATCCTGGTTCAGTCTCACTACCCTGCCAAAGAATTGGTATAGCATAGGCTCAATAGGTACATGAACATAGCCTGAGAGTTATACATTCAAAGAAGCAAAATCACAGATGTTTTCACCAAGATGAGAATGGGCTACCATTGGTGAGTGAGGGGAGCCAAGAGTGAATACTTGGTTTCACTTTTTATATTATTTTCCTCTGGGGTCAGCTCTGGGTACCCTGATAGTTGTCATCTGATGCTTTGGTTTCCTTTCCTAATATAGCCCATATTGATATATTTTTTTTTTCTTTGATGTACTTCATTCCCTTTATAGCAGGCCAGTCTTAGTCTTTTCTGCACATACCTGATTTTGGGGTAAATCCCTTTTTCTATCTTCCTTTTAGTAGACTCTCCTGAGAGGTCAGGTCATTTCCTACATTTCTGAGCATCTCCTCCCTCTTCTAACTGTCTAACACTGGGGCTCCCTTTACAAGCTTGTTCCTCACCATTGTGGTGAAAGTTGTGTCCTCTGGGTACTCACTGTGTAGGGGTATGTGGCTATCCTGATAAATCCCACTCTAACATGCCAATTCCCCAAAAGTATGGATTCATTTCTCTACAGAATAATCAGACAAATCTATGACTTCAACTTTATGTATTGTAGATAACAACGCAATCCCTGCTTCTGTTATGCCCAGAATTCGGGGTCCCCAAAGACCACCCAGGAGCCATGTACCGATGTAAATACATAAGGGTTGTTTATTCAAGCTCGAGCCAGGTCTCTAACCTTATCTGATGCAGCGGAATAGGGAAAGAGCCCCGAACTCATTGTCTGCAGGGTTTTTATAGAGTTTTCAAACAGCTCAGGTTTCTCAGCTTTACAATCTTTGGATTGGTTAACAATTGGCAAACTATGAGATGTTACAGTTTAATTGGTCAGGACTGGTGGTCTTTGTTCTTAGGCTAGGGTAAAGGAAAACATCTGGCCTCTGGCCTTGAGCTGCCTGGCTATTTATACATATATCATTTTCTTGGAGCTAGAGGACGTGCTAAAGCTTATATACGAAATGGATTCTTCTCTTTGGTCCTACACTTCAGTTAGCAACAACAACAAAATCTGTTATATCCTGTCCTAACCTCTGGAGCAGAAAATTGAAGAACCTGTGCTTAGTGGGCCCAAATCAAGAAACTCACACTGATACAACATTGATAATGTTTCCTTTCACCATTATCCCATACACTTAACAGCCATGGCCACATAAATTTTCCATGCTTCTCTTTGCATATATTAGAAAATTAAAGCAGTTCTTTTGGAGTGTAATGTATGTTTTCCAGTGTGATAGTGTATAGCTTACCTTTTGGGGCCCACAGTAACTTAAGTCAAATTATAGGTCTAGAAGCAATAATGAATATTCAGCCTCAAGTGCTGCCCTAGGCAATGCCTCATACACTAACAACTTGGGTAATCTCAGCACCAGGTGCTGCCCAAGGTGATATCTCAGACAATGGTTTTTCATCCACACCTTGTTCAATCTCATCAACAGGGGCTAAGAAGGATGGTCCTGTTGGTAGAAGTGAGGCAAGGGAATTTAGTGGCTCTTGAATACCTGGTGTGGTGCTACAGGTTAAGCTACTAACAAATCCAAAGACACCAGTTGCTCCTAAGAGCAACTCAGCATCACTACTAGTTGGAACAATCTTGATGGTACTTTACAACGATAATATGCCCCCAGTTCCCTAATTATCTGTCTATATGTCCCCATCTCAACACTCAGGATCCCATTTCTTTCCAATAAATGCCCTCACATTAACATCAGACACCATTTGAGGTTGGCTATTTAGCTGCTGTGGAGCTGTGGGTTAATGCACCAGACTGCAAAGCCGTTTGAACCACAAGGTTGGCAGTTCAAGTTCACCAGCTGCTCCTCAGAAACCCTATACAGGGTCACTATGGTTTGGAACCAGCTCAACGGCACTTCACAACACACCAATTCAGCTGGTACCATAATTCAGCCACTCATACAATGTGACTCTGGGTTTAGTTTTCAGCAATATCAGCTCTGCTACTACCTGAGATAAATCTTGCTTTCAGGGCACAAGTAGAAACTCTTAGAACTTTTATGCAGATTTCTTATTGATTTGTGACTTCTAACCCTAAGTCCTGGGGTGGTACTTCAGGACAATGCACTGGACTAAAAGGTCTCTTTCAAACCTATGGTCCGTGGGTCAAACCCACCAGCCACTCCACAGAAACCCTATATAGAGTCTCTATGAGTCTCATCTGACTCTATGGCAATTAACAACAACAGCAAGCCCTGATTTCCTGTCTTTTCTTTAACACTTGTAAGTAGAACCAATCAACCAACTTCTTTATAATTCTCATCCTGACAAAATTGCTGAAAAGTGAAATGTACATGGCATTTCCTATTCAATATCAGGAAAAGCTAAAGCAAAAAATCACTTTAATGTGAAAAAAATAAGACCTAAGGTGGCAACTCATTCATCTGTTACAGAAAACACCAGGTCTGGAGGACATGCCACTATGGAGGTCCTTGATAATGTTTTAAATAGTTGTACAATAATAATAAAGATGGACTATATTCATTGGATTGCATTTATTTGCTGTTAGAAAATAAAATTTTTAGTATTTTTTTGAAATGGGATCATGAAGTCAAAGAGAAAAGTTGTTGTTACCTGACATTCAATTGACCCCTAGTCACAAAGACCCCATGCACAAGGCAATGAATAGCTCTCCAGTCCTGTGCCATCCGCATGATCGGTAGGAAATCAGACTATTGCCACACATAGGATTTTCATTGATTGCTGGAAGTAGATCACCAGGCCTTTCTTCCTAGTCTGTCTTAATCAGGAAATTCTGCTAACATCTGTTTAGCATCATAGCAACCCTCAACTCTCTACTGATGTTTGTGTGGTGGCTACACATGAACTGCCTTAGGGAAGAATCAAACCTGCATCTGCTACATGGAAGGTAAGAGTTCTACCACTGAAAAAAGGAAATGGTTGTTTTTGTTCTTGTTTAGTGCCTTAATGTTGGTTCTGACTTATAGTGACCAGGGATAGGATTTCAGAAGAGTGGCTGGTGGGTTTGAACTGATGACCTTGTCATTAGTAGTCCTATGCTTACAGTGCCACACTAGGGGTTATTGTTGTTGAGTGCTGTCAAGTCAGTTCTGACCCTTAGCAACCTTGTATAGGGTTTCCAAGCAGCAGCTGGTGAGATTGAACCTCTGATATCGCGGTTCAAACTGACGTTGCATTCAGCGCATTACCCACAGTGCGACACCAGGACTCCACACCAGGGGTTAGGGCTTTGGAAAGTCATTATGTGATCATTGTAATATGAGTGAAAGAAGCTAAAAATGGGGCGGAAGTATATATATTTTATAATCTTGTTTATACATTTCTGAAATAGGAACTCAAATAACAGTAACAGAACTCAGATGAGAGGCTGCCGGGGGAGACATTGTTTTAGGCACTTACAGTTGGATTACAAGTAACTATGAGGAGAATGTTGGGGTGGCAGACATATTCACTATCTTGATTTTGGTGGTTATTTTAAGGCCATATCAATATGCCAAAGCATTAATTGCAACAATTTAAATATTAGTCCCTGTATATCAAGTTTGCCTCCGTTGTTGCTGTTCTTAAATGACATCAAGTCCGTTCCAACTCATAGTGGTCCTGTATAGGATTTCTGAGTCTTTTAAAATCTTTGAGGGAGCAAAAAGGCCTTAACTTCTTCCACGTAGCCACTTGGGGCTCAAACCATGAGCATTGAGGTTTACAGTTCAGTGCTTATCATTTTGGGCCACTGTGGTCTCATGCCTCCACAAGAAGAGTTCTATAAGAAAAGAGCACGTTGGGATGCTGGTGAGGGAGATGAGAGAATCACACTGAAGGTTAATCAGACAGAGTTCTGGAATCTCTTAGAAAGGGGGAGAGCTGATGATGGAGCTATAGGATTCCCTACTCAGAGGAGCCCTGCTGTAGAAAATGCGCTGCACCTCTAGGCTAGTTTGAACCACAAGGTCCGTGGTTCAAATCCACCAATCTCTTCTCAGGAACACTATACAGGGTCTCTATGGGATGGAACAGACTTGATGGCACTTAATAACACCACCAATCAGAGGTTGTTGCTGAGGTGGTCACAGCTGGACCCTGCCTCCCCAGCCTCAGGCTTTAATACAAAGAGCGTTTATCCCAGCCTGATGGAGATAAGTCTTTTCTGTTTCCTCTGAGCCAATTTGTATTGGATTGGACTGTAGGACAAGGAGGATGGGGCTCCCTGCCAGGCAGAGACCCATGAAGGCGCTGGGCCCAGAACTGCAGCAGCACAAGAATGAGCAGAAGCCCAGCCTGGTCCCAAGCAAGCAGCTGTAGTGCATCCTCCTCCCTAGAGATAAGAATGGGGTTCTTGTCTCACTTCCCTGTGTTGGCCTGGAGCACTGTGTGAGCACCCAGGCTGATATCAAACGACTGACAGTAATAAACGGCCTCATCCTCACGCTGCAGTCCAATGATGGTCAGGGAGCCAGAGCTGCCAGACTTGGAACCTAAAAATCGATCCAGAATCCCTGAAGGTCGGTTGCTATTACCATAGATGAGGAGTTTGGGAGCAGTGTCTGGGAACTGTTGGTACTACTGCACATTGTAGCGACCAATGTTGGTGCTGCTTCCAGTACAGGAGAGACTAACCCGCTGGCCTGGGTTCCCAGAGACAGAGGGTATCTGACTCAGCATAGACTGAGTCCAGGATCCTGAAAATAGGGGAGACACAGAAATGGTGATTCTATTTCTAGGGACAGGAAGAGTAAGCAAGGTCCTATGTGTTCTCCAGGTCCATTCCAGGACCCCAATGAAATCACCTTTGCAGTGAGCAAGAAAAGTGAGGAGGAGAGGGGTCCAGGCCATTGTGGAGATTGTCCTTGATTCCTGGAGCTGAGCTTTCTCATCCCCTGTTGACCTCTTCATACTCTGAGATAAGGGAGGGTCTATTCATGCAAATATGGTCAACTTTCTGGCCCCTAACCCCAGGCCATGGATCAGACCTCTTTGTCTGGAAATGGCCAGGGAGGTGGGGCAGGGGTGGGGTGATATGGATCCCAGGGGTGTGGGAGGTCACAGATGTGTGCAGTGAGCCTTGAGCAGAGGACACCAAACAAGGCCAGGTGGCTGCTTCCAAATTCTGGTCACCTCAGTGTCCCCAGTCCTCAGAAGTGGGCTGTGAGCACCCTCTGCTGCTCAGACTCCCACCCAGTCATTGTGTGACATGAAAACTAGAGCCGTCATCCCTGTTAATGTGGCAATATTTTCTCTGCTGAGACTCTCATTGGTGACTCTACTCTATGGCTCCCTTGACGGAGGTGTTTTTGATAAACATCATTCTATAGAAAAATGCATAATGTTCTTCAAAACAGTTTCCTAATGTTCCAGTGAGATAATAGTAATTCTAACTTTTTTCTTAAACATTTTCTTGTGAATTGAGTGAAGGTTTACAGGGCAAACCATCTATTTTAAATCCAACATACCATAGACTCTGTTTCATGACAAAGATTGCAATCCACCCTATACACCATCAGTTGACAGTATTTATCTATATTCATATTAACTCTTCCATTCCTTCCTGTATCTTCTGCTACCCTCATTTTTCCTCTGCCAACCTCCCTATGGGCATATATTGTTATATGTACTCTCTGGTATGGCATTGTGGGTTATGTGCCAGACTGCAAAGCCGTTTGAACTGAAAGGTCAGTGGTTCAAGCTCACCAGGCACTCCTTGGAAACCGTATGCAGGGTCGCTATAGGTCGGAACCGACTTGATGACAACTCTCTAGCCTATATAATTTTCCTTCCCTGTCCCAGTAACCATCATCGAATGTTTCTTTTATCAAGAGAAACTTTCTTTTTTTTAACTTTTTGCAACATGATCTCATACAATACTTTGCTTTTGTGATTGACTGAATTCACTCAGCATAATGTCCTTCAGTTTCATTCATGTTGTGAGGCGTTTTCAGATTCATAATTATTCTTCAGTGTTGAATAGTATTCCAACACGTGTATATGCCTAAGTTTGTTTAACCATTCTTCTGTTTTTGGGTGGTTAGGCTGTCTCCCTCATTTTGTTATTGTGAATAATGCTTCAATGAACATGAGTGTGCATATATTTAGTGATGTGTCTCTTGTATACGGCATATTGAAGGATTTTTTTTTTTTTTTTTTAATCTATTCTGCTACTCTCTGTTTCTCGACTGGTGCAATTTATCCATTTATATTTAGTATAATTATCAATTGTTGTTGTTGTTAAGTGCTGTCGAGTCGGTTCTGACTCATAGAGACCCTGTATAGGCTTTCCAAGGAGCGACTGGTGAGCTTGAACCACCAACCTTGCAGTTCAAATGACTTTGTAGTCTGACTGCTGTCATTTTGTTGTGTGTTTTAATCTGGTGCTTCAGGTTTTTGGTCCACATAAGTTTATGCATTGAGTTCATATTGTGTGTGGATTTTCTTTTCATTTCATTTCTGTTGTGTATTAACAGTTTTACTAATTCATTAACATGTTTACTAATTCATTCTGATTTTCCCCTTTTTTATTTTGAGGTGAAAATGTATTAATTTTCTTTGGGGTTATCTGTTATTAACTTTTTCCATGTTTAAAAGAGTCCATTTTGTATTTTCTTTTCCTTTTTAACTTTTTAATGTGAATTGTGTGAAGGCTATCAGACAAAATCATCAACTTCACTTTCAACCAATTATATGCTTTGTGTCATCTAAATGATTACAATCCCCTCTGTACAATAAGAGTTATCCTGCTTCCTCCCTTTTACTTATTTTTCTCAAATCAATAAAGCAAAAATACTTGTTGTACACATGCAAATAAAAAATTGTATATTCATTTAAATGTCCAAAGTACACATTTTGAAAGTCACCCTTCTGCCCACTGGCACACATCCTTTCTCAATCCATGGACCTAGAATCCACAGCTGCTCTAACTCTCCCTGCTGTCCCCTCAGCCACTGCCTCTATTGTTGCAGCTTTTGTAGGTTGGATTTTTTTTTCTTCGATCAACTATAGAGTTCTGGGATTTACATTTAGGTCTTTAATCCATGTTGAATTAGTTTTAGTATAAGGTGTGATTCATTCTTTTGCAATTGATTTCATTTTGCCAGCACCATTTGTTGAAGAGACTATCTCTTCTTCATTTAATATGTTTGGGCCTTTTCAATGATCAGTGGATGGATTTACTTCTGGGTTCTCAATTTTGTTCCACTGATTTGCATATCTTTCATTGTGCCAGTACCAACCTGTTTTGACCACTGTGGCTGTGTAAGTAAATTTGAGATCAGTAAGTGAGGGATCTCTAGTATTGTTCTTCTTAAGCAGAGCTTCCCCTTCCATATAAAGTTAGTGATTAGTTTTTCAATCTCTTTAAAGAATGTTTTTGGAATCTGGCTTGGCATTGTGCTATATCTGTACGTTACTTTGGGTAGTATTGACATTTTCACAATGTTAAGTCTTTCTATCCATGAACATGTTTTATTCTTTCATTTTTGTAAATCCCTTTTGGTTTCTTATAGTAGTGTTCCGTGGTTTTGTTTATATAGGTCTTTTGTTTTTCTGGTTAGATTTATTCCTTCATAAGTAGTTCACCTTTTAGATGGCTATTGCAAATTATTTTTTGTTTTGGTGTTAGTTTTCTTTTCTAATTTCCTTTTCAGAGATGTCTTTATTAGTATAGATGAACCCAACTAATTCTTGTGTAATGATCTTGCACCCTGCTACTTTGCTTAATTTGCCAATGATTTCCATTTTTTTTTTTCTGATTGTTTGGGATTTTCTGTGTATAGGATCATATAATTTGCAAATAAAGAGAGTTTGACTTCTTCTTTACCAATTCAGGTGCCTTTGACTTCCCTTTCTTGCTTTATAGCTCTGGCTATAAAGGCCATCCTTGTATGATCCTTGTATGATAAAGGCCATCCTTGTATGGTGCCTGTTCACAAAGGAAATGCTTTCAATTTCTTTCCATTGACAGTGATGTTGGCTGTTGGGTTTGTATGGTGGTGGTGGTGTTTATGTGCTGTGCAGTTGGTTCTGACTCACAGCGACCCTGTATAGGGTTTCCAAGGCTGTAAATCTTTACAAGAGCAGAAAGCCTCATATTTCTCCCACAGAACCTCCAGTAGTTTTGAGCTGCTGATCTTGAGGTTAGCAGCCTCACTAGTACCACTGTGCTACCAGAGCTCCTTTTGGGTTTGTACATATGCTCATAATAATGTTGAGGAGTCTCAATTATGTTGAGGAGTCCTGATATGGTTAATGAGCTGGACTGCAAAGTTGATTTCAACCACAAAGCTGGTGGTTCAAATTCACCAGTCACTCCTTGGAAACCCTATACAGAGTTGCTATGGGTCAGAATCAACTCAACAGCACTTGACAGCAACAACAATTATATTGGGGAATTTCCCTTTAAATCCTACTTTTATGAGTGTTTTTATCAAAGCTTGGTTTTGGATTTTGTCAAGGTTCCCCTCTCCCTTTTATTTTTAATTTATATGGTAGATTACATAGGTTGCTTTTCTAATATTGAAACATATTTGGATGCTTAGTATGAATCCTACTTGGTCACGATGTATTGTTTTTTGATATGTTGTTGAACTCTATTGGCTAGGATTTTGTTGAGAATTTTTGCATCTATGTTCTTGAGGGATTTGTTACATGCCATCACGTTAGGTCTGACTCATAGTGACTCTGTACAGCGTTTCTGAGGAGTGGCTCATTAGTTTGAACCACTGAACTTGTGGTTCATTGCTCATCTTATGGCGCTACATCAGGACTACTTATGAGGGATATTGGTCTATAATTTTCTTTTTTAAGTGATGTCCTTGACTGTTTTGGGTATGAGTATTATGCTTGTTTCATACAATATAGGAAGTTTTCCACCATTTTTTATATGATGGAATAGTTACATAAAATAGATGTCACCTCTTATCTAAATGTTTTATTAAATTCACCAGTAAAGCCATCTGGGCCTGGATTTTTTTGTTGTTGAGTGAGTTTTTTGGTGACTTGATCAAATACTTCTTTTGTTATAGGTCTGTTCAAGTTTTCTACATCTGGAGGTCTTGTTTTTCTTTAAATGGATCCATTTCCAGTAGATTTTCAAATTTGTTGGAGTATAACTCTTCATAGTATTCTGTTTTCCTTTGTACTTCTGTTGGTTTTGTTGTGAAGTCACCCATATGGTTTCTTATGTGTATTATTTGCATTGTCTCCTGCTCTTCTTTTGTTAGATTTGCAAATGGTTTGTTGATTTTATTAATCCTTTCAAAGAACCAGGTTTTTTGTCTTGTTGATTCTTACTATTGTTTTTCTACTTTCTGTTTCATTTATTTCATCTCTATTCTTTATTCGTTCTTTTCTTCTAGTGACTATAGGTTTACTTTTCCAGCTTGTTCTATTTGTTGGAGGTATTATGTGAATGTTTTGATCTTGGTTCTTTCTTCTTTTTGGATGTGTGCATTTATTGGTATAAATTGTACTCTCAACATTGCTTTTGCTGTATCCCAAAGGTGTATGTATGTTGTATTTAGTTCTCACTTGGTTCCCATTGCTAATGGAAATTTTCTGACTCTTCAACTAATATACTCTGATTTAGTAACTGATTTATTATCACGAGAAAAAATCATTGTGCAGAAAATGTGAACTTGTTGGGGAGAGTAAATAGAATAAAAGAAAAAAAGTTACTTTGAATGTCTATATAAACCTCTCAGAATATTTTTCCAAAATTAGTCATTATTTCCTTTAAGATAAAAACTGGAGATGGGGGATAAAAGTACATTTTTTGTTTTTTACTACAGAATTTACTTAGAAGCTTCCAACTTCCTTTTTATTATCATTATTTCTGACTTTCC